AGGGAGGGGGGGCTGCCATGATGCAGTTTACTTCGCATCCGAAAATGCATTTCCTCAAAGGCATTTTTAATCTGAAAAGAGCTTCACTGAGTGAGAACTTATGTTGAGCTCAGCAGACAGTTAAGTTTCACTTTCACTTTCACCCGAGAGCCTGCATGAATCATGGGCGGGGTGGGGGGTAGGGGGTGCGCTCTGCCATGAGGAAGTTCGGCTTAAAGACAMGTCTCAGGGGCGTTTCTGGTCCCCAAAGGCGTTTCTGGTCCCCAATTGTCGTTTTGCTCCTCAGCATGGCTTCCTAAAAATGCTGCAGGATTTCTCAAACATGCATGAATGAGTCAAAGCAAGGCTTTGGGCGTGTTTTTTTTAGGAAAGTATCATATTATAACATGATATAAAACTCAAAAAAGTTGATTTTACATGATAGAGCCCCTTTAAACTTTGTAACAAACATTGCTTAAGGATTATCTCCTCAACTGATAACACTAGAGCTGTTAGGATGTTAGGATGATGGAGACAAAATAAAAGACGTGAAACTTGTCTGGATTTTAAGGTGGGTGCTGTCCCAGGAACAGAAAAAAACATTTATGAAAATATGATAATTAAATACTGTATTAGCTCAAGGGCAATACTTCTTTAACTTTTATAAACTTTCAAAAAAGTAAATATAATTCAGAGCGTAACATGTCTCAATGGGATTTTAGAGGAAATTTTGTGGCTCAGACGTTAAGAAAAACAGGGATGAAGCTGATTGGCCCATTCTTCCTAGTGACATAGTTCGTGCAGCTGTAACACACAAAAAGCTTGTGATGAATTACTTTCCTACCTTATTGCTTTTAATTTCTCACCACACACTGTGAGAAGATTACATACAGTAAAAAGTGCCCCAAATGACCTGCTGTTTAGCAGAGAAACAACATTGTCTTTGTGAAATTAACACATTAAACCTTACATTTTACTTTGCAGTCTGTATTTTCATATTGGAAAAAAGTTTCACTTAAGCCAATATTTTGTGAGCAATGTGAAAAACGTACCAAACAAAAGGTGGCAGGCAGTTTTGTACAGAATGCTTAGGACTGTCTTAGAAAAAAAAAATCTCTAGCAATAAACACCAGAGTGCATTAGGTGCAATTTTCCTTCCACACCACACAGACGTAAAGAGGCTAAGTTRACTAATTATACTTATTTACATCCCACTTCTTTGCATTAACAAACGCTCAAACATACATTTAAACTTGAACAGCATAAATGTGCAGTTTAAATGTATTGTCCCTTAGTGCCAGAGAGAAATAACAGTTGGCAGTAGCTGCATCTTAAAGGCATATTTTTTGCTGCTAGTGCTGGTTCATGTAGTCCCAGGAAGATTGTTTAAAGAGTTCATATTGTTTCTACATTGTGTGGCTCTAACTGGTGCATTTAGTGTCAGACCTGACAAGCAAATTCCTTTAAATGTGTACAAGAAAACTGGAGAAATATGTCATAATGTCAGATTKTTTTTTTCCTATGACTTGACATGACAAGGTTAGCAGACTTTCTTTTCCTCCTTTTCATAAACTGTCATAGAAATCACAGTATTTGTTAAAGAGTGGGTATTCAGCTAATATTCAACTCYTTGTGAAGTGTTCTGTTTAGCTTGGATGCAGCACGTTGGCTCAGTTAGTAGAGCTGTTTCCCCTTAGCTGAAGGTTGCCAGATCAAACCTTGTCTGGGGATCTTTCTGGTTAGAGTTTGCATGTTCTCTCCTTGCATGCATGGGTTTTCTCTAGATATCCCGACTTCCTCCCACAGACCCAAAAACATGACTTTTAGGTTAATTATTAACTCTGAATTGTCCYTAGGTGTGAGTGGYAGAGTGRATGGTTATTTGTCTCTATGKGGCCTTGTCATGGACWTGCAACCTGCCTAGGGTGTCCCCCACCCMTCGCACAGTCACTACTGGAAAWGGGCACCAGTGACCCTGAAGGATGAAGCAAGTACAGAAAATGGATGGATGTRTCCAACCTGAGCTTTGACATGTTAAACCAGAACCACATGTTGATCTTATAACCCTTATGGACAACACCTCTAAGTGGTGAGGGCTACAACCAAGCAAACAAAAGCATGATGTTGGTCATTGGTCAAAAACGCAGGTGCAGAGAAATACAGATCAGGGTTTCAATAATAACAACAACACCAACAACAACAACAACAACAACAACAACAACAACAACAACAACAACAATAATAATAATAATAATAATAACAAATCCCCAGACCTATAAACACACACCATCACATCTATTGTTAGACAATTAAAACATAATGTCACCACAGCAAAGCTGCAAAGAAACACAAACAGAGCAAGGAGGCTTTAATCAGAGAAACATGAACAGGAGACCAGATATAACCTGATGGAGTTGCAGCTCTTCAGAGATGGATGTATCTGTCTTGAAGACCAAAATGGGGCTTTATAGAGGAGTGGCCAGGAAGAAAAAACAAACAAACAAACAAAAAAACCTTTGCTAAAAAAACATAGATCATTTTCTTCCCTAAATACTGCCATAATTGGATCACTAAAATGTAAAATTTTGTTCATCAAGGACATCACCATGTCTGGTGCAAACCTCATCCCCCTCCTCATGATTTGAACAKTGTCTCCACAGTGAAGCATGGTGGTGGAAGCAACATGCTGTGGGAAAGTTTCACATCAAAAGGAACTGGGAAACTGCTCCAAGCTGAAGTAAAGATTAAAGGAACAGAAAATAGTGATGCAATCTTGAGAGAAACCTATTAAAGTCCTACAGAGGTTTGAGACTGGGACAGAGGACAATAATCCTAAACATATTAGTAAAACAGCTGTACACTAGTAGCAGCCAGATAAACTGAAGGAGCTGGAACTGTTTTGTCATGAAGAATGAGGGGTTTGATGTTTTGAGCTTATGGAAACATACCTGAAGAGATTTGCTGTTGTTTGAAATCTCTTGAAATTATTCATAAGATTTTCCCCATTTAACTTCACTAATCTATAGTATATACAGTAATTTTCATCAGTTTTAATATTCATATGAATTCCAGGTTTTAAGGCACCAACATTAAGTACCAAGAGAATTTCTTCTTTTGCAGTATATGCCAGATGCTTGACTCTTGTTTGGAAAGTAGTACCAACAGTGACAAAGATGAAGATCCACAGTTGTTCCAAGACACTGATAATATGTAGGACTAATACAGTATATTGTGGAGCAATAGGCTGACTAGCCCACTCATCTCCTTTTGCTTCCATTATTCTCAGCTGATAAATGACTCTCACAGCTGCCCCTGATAAGAGCCTTCCCTGCCTATTCATCAGCTCTGGGTTCAAGGCTGTACAGCTGTGGGATAAAAAAGAAAGGAAAAGAAAAAAAAAACAATATGTAGGGTTAAAGACAGTTTGCTATCAGATAAAAGGTTACATCACATAAACCAACAGCTGTAATCATACTTACATGTATACATTCAGGGTTAAAGTGGGAACAGTGTGGGAGGCTGAGGCCTGTGTGGTTTCAGGGTTTATATTTGAACTGTATGTATTAACAATAATAAATAAACAAAACGATTCTCTACACATTTGAAGTATTTTTAGTTTCATATATTGGAATATTAATGAAAATGACCAAACATAAATTAGAAGTTTCTTTTCAGCATGCTCAATCATGTACAGTTAAGCTTCAACAACTACTATAATTTAAGGTAATGATTCAGATCTTTTCAAGCAGAATTCTGAGGAAAGCTTGTGAACACTTATTACCTTAACAACCACAGGGAGTTAATCAAAGGGCTTCAATTTGAAAAAAAAGAAAAAGAAAAAAAATTATGACAGCATTGACCAGCTAAAACCTTGTCTAAGAAGGTCCATAACTATTGTAGATTGCAACCCCCTTAAAATTAAAATTTTTCTATAGATGTTCATCAATTTTAGATTTAAACTTTATTTATACAAACTGAAGTCATTCAACGAATTATCTACAACCCACAATAATAGATCTAAACTATCACTTTAAAGGCACAGTGTGTAGGATTTTGTCAATTCTTTTAGACGAAATTGAGATAATCACTAATGACAATAATGAAAAAACGTGTCTAATCTTCGCAGACAAAGACCT